TCAAAACGGAGCTTTTTCTCTCACTGTCCGTCAATGGATGAACGAATGAGTAAATATTTTGTAAACATAGCGTATAGTGTAGTAAAGCATACTATCCTTACTCTTTTGATAAATTGATATGGTAACACAATCATTCCACATCTTCTTATTTTTACATCATTACAGTAGTATAGAAAACAAACAAACATTTTTGAGATGTATTTCTATTTGTATCCATCTGATGACTTAAGCCTTTTTCAACTGATTTTATTAGTTCGTTCTTATGTTGTACTGTTACACCAATTTCCTAGGTTAGGGGAGGGTTGGGATCCCGCTAAGATGTTTAACCCCGCCCCATTCTGTATATATTTACCTGTCCCAAGCCAGGAGCCTGTATTTCAGTGGTTGTCGTTTGTTGCTGTGTTACATATTTGTTTTTCGTTCATTTTTTTGTACATAAATTAGGCCGTTAGTTTCCTCGTTTGAATTGTTTTACACTTGTCATTTGGGGGCCTTTATTGCTGACTATGTTGTATGAGCTTTGTTCATTGTTGAAGGCCGTACGGCGACCTATAGTTGTTAATTTCTGTGTCATTTGATCTCTTGTGACGAGCTGTCTCGTTGGCAATCACACCACATCTTCTTTTTTCTATCATAAGGAATTAATGTAAGTACATGATATAAAGTATTTATGTCCATTTAAACTTAGTTCGAAGATAAGATCAATAAGGTATACGTATAGCATTCAAAAATGTCTACTCCCTATTTCGAAAAGTTCCCGTTTGAAATAAATTTAAACACATGTTTGTATTGCAATAACATCTTTATAACATCTTTTTGACTCAAATATTTAATTTCTTCCGATGGGCAATGTCCAGATCCGTGATAACGTAGCTTTTCATAAATTTGTGGTTTCAAAACAAAACAAAACCGGGTCCTATACTGAGACAAAACAGGGTCCTTGTGTAATAAACAACATTGACGAAACAGGGTCCTTCCATTTTGACATGATCCATTTATTTCGTTCCATGCACAGAAATGCAAATATTGAGGTGCTCATAGTGACTAGCCATGCAATCTCTGTGTTAACATCTTTCTTTCCGTACTTTTCTTTCCGTACAATGTGCACAATTTAAAGAGAAATTAAACAAATTCGTAGCAATGGTCACTCAATTCACCATTTTCGTGTGCCTTTTTACTTATTTCTCCATTAATCTAGAACGGTTGTAGAAAATATTACATCACACAATCGAAAGTAGTTATATGTGTATGTTTATTCTTCAATGTCATTAAATAACAAATAAATAAACAGAAATTCTACCTTTTCTCTGTCTGTTGATTGTCCGTCACCGTACAGGATATTAGATACTATCGAGTCCAAACATTTTTTGCCGGGGTAGTTTAGACACAGTGTTATTTAATGATCATATATATCGTTCAGTATAACATTTAGTACCACAACGAGGGTCTGAATGGTATAGTCATCGTTTCTGTATTCAACAACTTTTAATGTAATTTTTCTATACTCTTTATTATTTACCCACAAGTCTCTATTCATTATATGTCAGCACTCTAATATAATTATTCTCTAGTTGTTTTAGTCGGCCAGGGGTTAAAAAATTCACTAGCCCGACGCCCGGGACTAGACTTTTACACTTCGGGCATTTGAAACTTGTAACCGAATATGCCCGACGGACTAGTAACAAACAATTCTTGGCATTTCCAAATAGTAAGTGGAAAATCCCCTCATCACTATTCTATATTAGCCAATCAGATTCAATTACGTACGTCATCCGGGATTCTAAGAATTTGAACCGATTTTGTACATGTTTTAAAAATAGAACAACTAACTCTGGGTGGACCGGTATCATGTATTGATCGCAATTCACGTACTTTCAATATCAATTTCTCAGTACAGGGGGTATTGTACATTGCTTATGCCGAGATATTCAATTAATGGTACTTGGGTGTATGATGAAATGATCGATATTGACCTGTCTTGTCGGACAGCTGTTAATTTGAGCTTGAAACCATGCACAAACTATTTCTAAACATTTTAGTACGGCCACCACAGGAACTTTGTCAGTTTTAAAACGAAAAACGGTAGATGCAGGGGGTAATGAGGCTGAAAATTTATCCCAAAAAATGCCAAATACGACCAGGAAAAGCGGAAAAAAACATTTATAGTGTCATGGACAGAAAGATTCCCCATGGGCAAGGTCGACTGTTACTGATGATAAACAAGAGATGATGTTTTGTGAATATTGCCGTTATTTTCCCGATCTCGCTGATAAAAAGTCTGCTTTGTATGTGGGAACAACAAATATACGAATTGAACCACTGGTTTAACATGACAATATCAATGAACATGTTTTCTGTGCCCGAAAATATTTAACCCATAGTACAAGGGATATCCAAAAAGATGTCTAGAGATCCTTGTTATAATTAATAAAACAAAAATTTATTTGATTTATTTTATCAAATACCATGTATAATGCCGCATTCAAAACAAGGGACACCCACTCTAAATTTGAAAGGTATACTCGGGCTAGCAGGTCAGTTTTGATGGGCTAGCAGCTCTTTCAACAGGGCTAGTAAAATCCTGCTACCAATAAGTTCTTGGCTAGTGAGCTGTAACAATTTTTTTTAACCCCTGAGTCCATTTTTCTATATTTTTAATATTTTTGGCGAATCATTCTCTTTTCTGTTAAACCCATCCAGACACTCATAAAAGTAGATATATACATATTGTATATATATAGACTATCAATATAAATTATTTATATAATTTTAAGAGATTATTTGATCTGGTTTATCTTATATAAGGAACTTAAGATAAGATGATACAATGTAGCACTGCACCGAGCGAGTCTCAGATATGTCAGTTAATATTTCCAATTCTAAAACAAAAGAATTGTTCGGCGTTGAAGATAGTTTGCTACTATTAAATGTCGAAAGGTGAGAAATATATTGAACCGGATACTGTGATAGAATTTCTTTAAACATATAAAAATACTGCGCTGTTGTACATGTACAAATGTATGATTGCCAATGAGACAATTAATCACCGGAGACCAAATGACGTAGATGTTAGCATGTACAGGGTACCGTTAAGAAAAACCCATACCATATAGTAAGGGAGCTACCATTTGATTTTTATGGGGGGGGGGGGGGGGGGGGGGGGCTAGGACGAAATTTGAAAAAAAGGCAGGAAAGAAGTTTTGAGTAAAAAAAGGCAGGATGAGCAACTTGGCAAAAAAAAAAGGCAGGATGACAAATTATGTATAAAAAGTCAGGATAAACTTATAAAAAAAAGGCAGGACCGAATAAAGTGAAAAATAAAAAGGCAGGACCGAGATTACAACTAAAAAAGATGCAAGACACAATTTTTCATCCTAGCCCCCCATAAAAATCAAATGGTAGCTCCCTAAGCTTTATACGTTCTAGACATAACAAAATTTAAAACAGTTCAAAAGAGAAAACAAACGGACTGTCAGATTTATGTACAAAAATATATGATAGACAGCAACCAAAGACAACCAACGACAACCACCGAATTACAGGATTCTGACTTTGGACAGGCACATTAAGAATGTGGCGGATGAATCTATACTTTTGCAACTGCCAGCCATATAGCATTTATCTACCATATATGTTGTTTTTGTTTCTTAACTGACATAATCACAAACTTTAACAGCTGTTGATGCCACCGAAGCTGTTGAAACCGAAGTCGGAAACAGCAAGCCGAAGTACCACGTTCACACTATGAAATTTACACAGGGTTCTAACTGGGGATAGTGTATTACTTCGGTTAAAAATTGTTAAAAATCAACCTTAAGGATTTTCTAATAAACAAAAATAAACACTTCAGCGCCAAAATTGTCACTCGCATCTTTTCACTCAGTTTGAATTTGTTTAAATTCTATGATTCACAGTTGACTTTTCTAAAGGTGTTAATTCTTTATCTTCATTTCTCGGTGGTACCGTGAAGAAATTGCACACCACTCTTTCCTTTTTTGCAAATATATGTCTGTGTGGAGGGGCAAGGTTCTCCACCCCTGTGTCTTATTTGTTTTCTCTTTGTAAATAACCAATTTCTTGACTCCTCCTCGATCAATTCGAGATCGGACATTTCTTTGCTTGAAACAGATTGTGATGCTTCGTCCATGATCTGGCTTGTCGGAAGTAATATCAATAGTCATTAAAGCAACAACCTCAAATTAAATCTCCTTTACGTTTCTTAAGGAATTACTGTATATTTTTTCTGTCTATGAAGAAATAACATAAAAAATGTGGTGCACACTAAATTACCCGCGTAGCGTGTAATTTAAAAGTGTGCACCACATTTTTTAGGTTATTTCAAATACTATTTTTTTAAAAGTAGATTATTTTTGCTTGATTTTCAATGTTTTTAAATTGGCGTATTGGAAGGTAACTCTGAAATAGTACATTTTCCAAAGGAATCTACATGAAATTTTGCTACTTTATGTTTTAGCAGGAAAAACGTACGGTAACCCCTATCTTCTCTTTTGATATTCTGAAAGCATTTTCTAAAAGCTATCTGCTCGTATTTTAATTTACGATTCTATCATTTAGTTTAGCTTCTATTTATATAACGAAGATTTTCCTGAATAATCCATACAAAATGTGTCATTTTTTCACAACCTATAGCTTGAGAAAAAGCTCGGTGACCTATAATTTTTATTATATTTTTGAACATATGACAATATATTTTACGTTTTGGCAAAGTAAGAACAAATTCGATCATTTTTAATTTATACTCCCATACCACCGTAACCCGATAAACTAACTCGGATCGAACCAGGATTTAAATGGCATCTTGTTAATTAGTTCTAGACAATTTATTATAACGTTTTTTAAAACAAAACTGTCCTGAAATTCGCCCTTTCAGGATCTAAACGATTATATGTAGGGTCACGTGTACGTCAGATAACCAATCACAAGGTTTTGCATTGGTGAATAATATTACACAGAATGCACTAGATTCTATTAATACTCACGACAACACATTTCCGTCTGTGTTTCTGAGGTTGCAGATTGCCAAGCCACTGCATTGTCTGTGATAGTCTGTTCGAAATCATCTACTGAACAAGATGACACCTCCGAAGCTGCAGTGGCATAACAGGTAGCCACGCCACACAATGTACTGTAATTTACAGAAGAAGAAAAAACTACTGTCTTCAAATCCTATTTTGTGTGTCATGTTTTTTTTACTTACAAAACTTCTTTTAAATTTTATTTCTAAATTAAAATATCATATAAAGTGGACACCTTTGATCGAGAAACATGAAAGATAAAATTCCTAACTGTCATAATTTTCATGACTTCAATAAAAGAGAGGCAAAAGTTACCAAAGGGACATTCAAACTCATAAGTAGAAAACAAACTGACATCGCCATGGCAAAAAACAAAAAACGACGAAAATACAAACAGAACACAAAACACAACATAGAAATCTAAAGACTGAGCAACACGAATCCCACCTAAAACCTAGGGTAATCTCAGGTGTTCCGGAAGGGTAAGCAGATCCTGCTCCACATGTGGCACCCGTAATTATGGTTTTACATGAAAGCCGTTTGCACGGAAGAAATAATAACATATAAAAAACACTGTCACAAGAGTTGAGCATTTAAAATTATATTTATTCTGCTTATTGATACCAATAAGCAAACATAATGAAATTGTTTAATAAAATACAACTGAACTTATTTAAAGTGGTACCAAACACCTTGACTACAATTAATTTGGCGGGTTTAATTTTCATAAAATTTTGACAAAATATTTACTTTGGCCCTTTGACAAAATATAAAAATTTTAAAAAACTTGAACCACACACTTTATCGGAAAAAAATATATTCATTGGATATATCGCAGTTTGACAAACACTAATTTTGATCATTGAGAAGCTTAATATTTCCTTAACAATAGAACGTGATCAAAACGTTCAGCTGATTTTTAAAGAATTATCTCCCTGTAGTGTTATGTACCACCTTAATTGCAAGGTATAGGAGTTAAACTACTCGAAATATATACTAGTAGTTTATTTACCTGCAATTAGTGTGTGCCTGAAATTCAAGGAGTTGCTCAGAACAAACTCTTGCTGCATAGTACGCAATTGATGTTATATCTCCACAAGTTAAAGTAGGTAGACCTGTTAAAAACAAAAAAAACAACAACCACAACGGTCTTGAATAATTGAGTGTAAGTGATTAAAAAAAAAAAAAAAATACTGCATCTTATTAGATTAATGAATAGGCAACACGACACTATTCTTCTTTCTTCAAAATTTCAAGAACAATGTTGCAGAATCAGTATCCTTGTTAAAAAAATAATTTGATACCGTACGTTTAAAAAAAATTCTATACTCGCAATTCCTCTGATGACGATGAAAGAATAGAACATATACATTTGTAGACATACATGTAACACCGCCACATTCTGTATTTGCCTGTCCCAAATCTGGAGCCTGTAATTCAGCGGTTGTCGTTTGTTGCTGTGTAACATATTTGTTTCTCGTTCATTGTTTTGTATATAAATCTGGCTGTTATTTTTCTCGTTTGAATTGTTTTACATTTATCATGTCCGGGACATCTACAGCTGACTATGCGGTATGGGTTTTGCTCATTGTTGAAGGCCGTACAATGACCTATAGTTATTAACGTCTATGTAATTTGGTCTCTGGTAAAAAGTTGTCTCATTGGCATCTAATTTTTATATGTATATTGCAGGAGGATTTTTGACAACTGAGATCGCCTGGTGTCCTAATAGTTAATGGACACGAAGAACAGACAAAATAAATGTAAGATCTAGGTTGAAGTTTCGTTGCACGTAGACTATCTGACTTCTAGATAATAACACACAGATATAACATATGAAATTGATAGATGGATAGATGGCTGCTTAACGTCCAGCGGCAAATTAATATGCATATTCAGGACGAGAACATGTAAATGTAATATGAATATTAACCCTGTTTTGTAGTAGACCGACACGCTGTGCCGGATTTTTAACGTGCTAGTTCACAGGGAAGCAGTCCACAGGAAGACATGTCACCTTACCCACACATTATTCTGAATCCGAGCCGACTAGTCTTTGCTCTTACTCCTTAATGCCGCGTGCTTTGCGGAGAAGCAGCAAATACCAATTTTAAAGTCTTTGATATGAACCGACCCGGGTTCGAACCCACAACCTCCCGCACTCGAGGCGAACACGCTACCACAAGACCACCGAGGCGGTCATATGAAATTGAGAATTATACTTACATTTTTCAACAACATCGAATCCTTGTAGAGCTGTTGTGATTGTTGACCTAAATGCTATTATAACAATGTATTGTTGTGCGTCGGTACATGTGACAGTATAAGTGTCCTGTACTGCAGTCGTTATACACGGTAAGATAGTACCCGTAGCGATTCTAAATAAAATATACAACTAAATGAGGGTCTGGATATTGGGTTCTTCATTTCTATATTCTTTATATTTAAACCTTTTTTTTTTTACTTTTTATTCATTTTGCTTATTATTCTCTGTTTTGTTCATATCTTAGTATCCCATTATTCTCGATTCTTTAAGGTTTGACCATTTTTTCTCAATTCTTGGTCCATTTGTTTCTGTGGTCTTGGTCCATTATTCTTTATTTTGTAAACCCTACCCAGACACTCATTCATGCAATTAGGTTAAAACAGTCAGTTCTTAATTCTATTTTTGTTCATTTTTAAAGGGAGTATAAATTGTTTTCACAGTAGTCATGTTTTGGACACTAGCATCTCTACCATAAGCCCTTGTCCAATGTGTTGTCATATTTTGACGACAGTTTCAAATTCTAGCCCTTCACCGCTGTTCCAGATTAGAGGGAGGGTTGTGCGATCGCAGAAATGTTAAATCCGTCACGTTCTGTACTAGCCTTTCCAAAGATAGGAGCCTGAAGCCCTTTTCACAAAAAATCTTAAGTGTAAAATTAATCTTACGATAAAAAATATTTAGTTGAGTTGTTAAGGAATATTTTAGACTTACGATAAATTTTACACTTAAGATTTTTTTGTGAAAAGGGCTACTGCAATTCAGTTGTTGTCGTTGGTCGCTGTGTATCATATTTTTTTTTCGGCAATTGTTTGGTTCATACAGCAGGCCGTTGTATATTTTTTTTATTTGATTTTTTTTTCATTTTGTCATTTCTGTGCCATTTACAGCTTGTTTATGGTATGGGGTTTGCTCATTGTTGAAGGCCGTATAGTGACCCAAAATTGCTTACATTTATCTCTGTTGGTCGCTGTGTATCATATTTATTTTTCCTTAATTGTTTGGTTCATACAACAGGCCGTTGTATATTTTTTTTTATTTGAATTTGTTTTTCATTTTGTCATTTCGGTGCCATTTACAGCTTGCTTTATGGTATGGGGTTTGCTCATTGTTGAAAGCCGTATAGTGACCCAAAATTGCTTACATCTACCTCTGTTGGTCGCTGTGTATCATATTTATTTTTCCTTAATTGTTTGGTTCATACAGTAGGCCGTTGTATATTTTTTTTAATTTGAATTGTTTTTCATTTTGTCATTTCGGTGTCATTTACAGCTTGCTTTTTGGTATGGGGTTTGCTCATTGTTGAAGGCCGTATAGTGACCCAAAATTGCTTACATCTACCTCTGTTGGTCTCTAGTGGACAGTTGTCTCACTGGCACTCATACCACATGTTCTTATTTTTATATTGTGCTTCTTTTTAATATCTTAAATATTAATATCATAATCCTTATCATTCTATATGTCTACTACCAAGAGAAGAATGTCGTCATTCAATTGTAGACATAAACTATAAAAAGCTGAAAGTAGAATAGCAACTTCAATATGAGACATGTGTTACATGTGAAAGAGGACGAAGTTTTTTTGGTAACCAGATATACAAATTTTGCGAAGCAATCGTATGCTTTACAACATGGCAACCAACAAGAACACTTTTTTTTTAAAGTAAAAGATTCAGGATTCACTTGTATATTGATATTTCTTTTCATTGTTTTTTCTTACTGTTATTGAGGACTTGGTCCTCACAATAAGTAATCTTACATGCATTTTGCTGCATCATCAGCAGCCGCAGAAAAAGCTACAAAATTTGTTGTGACACAGGTGGTAGCAAGTGGTTCAATCAGTGTTGAATTCGTACATTCCTCTGAAAGATAATTTATAATAAATAAATGTTCTTATTTAAACATGTCATTCAACTGTCTCATTTGGAGCAGAATCTGCTTACCCTTCCGGATCATCTTGTATCATCCATAACCTTTAGTTTCTAACATATATGGTCATTTGGTCTCTGATGAATAGTTGCCTGAATGTTAATCTTATCATATCTCCTTATCTTATATTATTCAACAGATTGTTAAGACAAAAGGCTGTTATTTGCTTTAAACCACCTCAGCGAAAACGGCGAAATAACGGCGACTAAATATATCTTCTACATGTAGGGCCGGGACTCATGTGAAATCGCGCATAGATGAATTACTAGATTATCATTTTTGTTTTCAAAATTCGCATTGCCTATTGAAAAATAACATGTAATAATAATTCCTAATGTTGAAATAAGAGATATGATGATGATGATGATGATGATGATGATGATGATGATGATGATGATGATGATGATGATGATGATGATGATGATGATGATGATGATGATGATGATGATGATGGGTGCTTAACGTCCAGCGGCAAACATTCATATTCAGGACGAGAACATGTTAATGTAATATGAATATTAACCTGCTTTGTACTAAGCCGACACGCTGAGCCGGATTGTGCTACGTGCTAGTTCACAAAGTAACAGTCCGCAGGAAGACATTTCTCCTTACCCGGACACATTATTCTGACTCCGAGCCGACCATTCTTTGCTCTTACTCCTTAATGCCGTGTGTTTAGCGGAGAAGCAGCAAATAACAATTTTAACGTCTTTGGTTTGAATCGGCCGGTGTTCGAACCCACGACTTCCTGCACTCAAGGCGAACATGCTACCACGAGACCCCCGAGGCGGTAAAGAAATAAGAAGTAAGTGAAATATTTGTAATTTATTCCGCTCTTCATGAACGCAATTTTGCTAGTCTAAGACCATATGTTTTTTTTTCATTTCAGAAAATTTATGATCGTTGTTGTTTCTTTTATGGAATGTTGCCTTTTTTTGTTGTTTTCTCAAATTATTCAGTCATCTCGGTTTGAACATTTTCAAAGGTCACAGGTACTTTTAAAAGAGACGTCAGGTCGCAAGGTCGCCCTTCAACCACCCCCATCCTCCCGTAAGGTCGCATGTAGGATTTTACCATGTTAGAGCCAGCTGCGTATGCAAGTCACAGAATCATATTAATGTCTGGTCAATTTAATCTTGTAGTTGGAGAAGCGGAACACAAACATAGTTCTCCGCATTTAATTTGACATTATATAGATAGATCTTGATAATATGTTTAAAAAATCAGACGAACGGACCTTTATTTCAATTAAACTATCATTTAAATTGAAAGTACTTATAATCAAATAAATTAAATACTAAAACAGCGTGATACTCACTTATTTATGAGGGGGGAGGGGTGGTGACACGGAGCTGTTCCTTTCCCAGATCCCCCTCTTTGTAATTTTTCCTACTCACTACTTTTTTCCGTCTTTTTTACAGATCCCTCTTGTTTACCCCCTATATCCACATCCTCAATTATTTACCCAATAATCCCATATCCCTATTTTTTTACCTCCTATATCCAACATCCGAAATCGTTTCCCCCCTAATTCATATTTTGAAATATATATTCCAATTTTCTAAATAAATTAATCACTATTTAGACAGGGAGTATTTCTTATTTTTCAAACTTAATTTGTTCATCAGCATTAAAATACTAATTTTACATTATTTACCAACAATCTGATATCTAATATTACAAAATTGACACAACAAAACGAATCTGGATTACTTACGGTCTAACGCACTCGTAACTGTGATGAGCAGGATAAAAACACAGATTAGAAAATATAGGTTCATTCCACGTTTCCTATCCATAGTCCTAAAACACAAGCAAACACAATTTTCTTTAAAATGTCAGAAGGATTCGAGAGAGAGAGAGAATAATTATAAGCATAGTACTAGTTCTCATGACCTAG